CATTCTGTGAAGTGAGGGATGCCTGTGGTGTTTAGTCTTGAGCATCCCACAAGGTCCTGTGCCTCACATGCCCTGACAATCAGAGCAGCTGCATGGAAAATGCTGAGTTCCAGGAGATGTTTGGATCATGGCACTGGGTCTTCAGTGCTGCAAGTGTGTTAACCCCTCTGTGCAGCTATGACTGGGATGGGGGAGAGGTTTTGGTACCACATCCATGTAGGGAGGTTATCAGCCCCCTGTTGTGTGTTTGGATGGAACCAGGTAGGCATGAATGGTGTATGGTTGGGGTGTGCATAGTCTTGTGGACAAGTAGCCATGTCCAGCAGACAGGGAGATGCCTGGCACAGCATGGACAGTTGTCTCTATCCAGGTGTTGCTACTTGCAGCTTGGAGGGCAGCGCTCATGGCCCTCTCCAGACCAGTGCAGAAGGATATTTACGAAGACTCTGATGCTAGCAGCACTAAGTATGTCCAGGGAGTATTTGTTCCTCTAGCTCTTCAACTGCAAGCCATGATCAAATCCATTAGATACCATAACTTTACTTGAATTAAAAGCAATTGTACCCAATTCTTGATGTAACAGTAATGACCTATTGTGCAATGTTATTGATGATTATTAACGTCATTGTTTGCAGGAAACTGGACTGTGGTTTTCACGTGACAAACTCAGCCCACTGATGTCCCCAAATTGTTTATTTTCTAGTGAGATTGAAGAGGGGAATGATTGAGCAAGCCACAGCAGTCTGTGACAGCCCTGCTACAAATACCACATTGGCTTCTGCCCCTCTTCCTGCCTCCAGACAGGATGTTAACTCTGTAGCCTAAGTATGATGGATGACTACCCTCAGTGATCTTGTTGATACTTTTGCTACAAAAATTTTCTTTCCTCTGGAACTATGAAAGTGGATACAAGATACAAAGGAAAATGAATAGCAATGTCTCTTTGCCCTCCAGCTGCTGGCAACATATAGCTACCTATGTGGGCAGCTTGTTTCAATCTGCCAAGCTGCCCACATGGATTGGTGGCTCGAGTTATTACTTTCCAGAAGAGTGATGTGAAGTAGTCGCAATGCAATGGGCAATTTTTCACACAACTCTGGGAGATCAAAGTCCTGAACAGGCTGTGTGTGGGAGGGAGACTTAGACATGATGGACAATAAAAGACTGGTCACTGCACAGGGATAGAGAATCATGAACAAGCTGACAATGCAGTCTCCTCAGACCTCCCTATATCTGGGCTTGTTATGGTTTGCAGTGCTACAGGCTAAATTTGGTCATGGGACTTCTTCTTGAGCTGTCCAATTAATCTGTGACTTCTGCACTTCATGGCTAAGAGCTCTGATCAGCAAGAGAGTAGAAAACCACTAGCAAGCATAACAACTGTCAGCATGCTCATCAGGAGGGACACACTCAGGAAACTCATGCTGAAAATGCAAGTGTCAGCACCCTGCACCAAGCATCACAGTGAGGAAGGATAAGAAGATGATGTCCTCTGCATATAAGGTACATAGGAAAGGGGATTTGGGAGAGGGGGGAGAACTGGTCTTCCCAGTGTCCAGGTTTGTGTGAAAGGAAGACACCTCCTCAAGGACCATCCACACTGACCAAAGCATATCGTGTTCCCCAGACAGCTCACAGAGCCCACAGACCTGAAAGGAAGCAGTGGGTGAGGGGCAAGTCTGCCGTGGCAGTTCTCCAGTCCTGTTCACCCTCCTGGTACTCTCCATAATTCCATGGACATCAGTCCTGTCACATTGTGCTGCTTCTTTGGGGAACAGCTTTTCTTTCAGGGCAAAGAGAAAAGCTGTGTTATCTCAGTGCCTCATTGCAATATTTTACCAGTAGTAAAACACTGACTGCACCATCCCATTAGTCACTCACCCAGCCTTTGCACCCAGAGTCTTCTGGGCTCAACAGGCATTTGCATCCCTTCAGCACATAAGGAATTCTCTGCTTCCTAGTCCTGTGTGTATCAGGGTTTTGCATGGCTAGTCTTAATTGCAATGGTATGAACCCAAACACTGAGCACTGAGTGCAGCCATGCTCCTCAGGCTCAGATGTCCTGAGAAGTCTATTTTCATCCAGGGTTCAGATCAGTTTATTCACCTGGGCAGTACCTGCTCCAGTTTCCCAAAAGGCAGATGCAGGTCCTCAGGTCCTACAGGGAAGATGTAATAGGAGAGACAGATGAACAAAGACCAACACTCCCACGAACTGAACCTTGGTTTTCCAGATCAATCTGGAGATGCTCCATTTTCTGCTCCAATGGCTCAAATCAGTTTGTTTCAAGCATTGCTTTAGGTTTGTTGCTGATGGTTGTTTTGGGGTGGAGAGGAGCAGCTCCTGGACACCTTTAAGAAAACTAATTGTCAGATGTTGCCTCCTTGCCCGGGTCTGCAGGTCTTGGCTTTGAAGCTGCTGCTGGATCTTTGGTCTGGCTCTGCTTTTCTTTTGCAGTCAGGTCTGATTACAGCAAATCCCAGATCTTGAATCAGGGCAAGTTTTAATACTGTACAGGCCTTGTTTATGTAACAGCTCCCATCCCTCAGGGATGAATCCAGGACTCGCAGCACTAAAAGCATTAGCTGCTGCCACTGGAGCTAAAGATGTAACTCCTCTGGCTGGTAGCACCAGTACATTTATAGCCTTTAGAACGAACGCTGGAGGAGACTTGTGACACACTAAAAAGTGGGTTATGCCTACTTAAGCATTTCATCCCACCTCTGCACTAAGGGAGAATGTACTCGTAGGACCACAGGTGTGAAAACACTCCTGATGCTGCTGCCAGCCCATTGCCCAGAGCTAGTCTGAGTAGAGTGTACACATCATTACTTACCAGCAGTTTTCTACTAGCACGCATGTCCTCTCTTTTACTCTCAGGCCTCCTCCAGCACTGGAGAAATAGAGGACAGAACAAGTGTAGGCAGGGCTCTGGCTCCCTTGGCTTAAACAACAGCCTCTGCTCATCTTTCTGAACTCATTTTGTAATGACTTTGGCATAATGGAGGTTTATATTCTTCTTCCTTTCCAGGCATGTGATGCAGAGCCTTTGGGCTTCAACATGTCAGCAGCTCAAAAAAGCCAGCCACCTCCAAAAAGCAGCTCTGTTTGCCTCCACAGCCCAAGGCCCAAAGACATGCTCACACTCAGAACAATTTCAGGTCAACACCCGAAAATACCAGTGATTCACCTTAAAGCTTTAAGACAGCTTAATTTTCCCCGTCATTCATTCTTTGTTCTTTCTGTTTATGCTGTTTAACTACACAGCTCAGTATCTGGACATTTACTTACCCTTATATTCCAGAGTGTTTGGTGCAAACAAAGGTCAGTTTAATGACTGTTCAGGGATTTACTGTAAATTGCCTCCTGGCTTCTGTCCTAAAATCTACATTTTGCTGGGACATAGCATTTATAAAGCATGAAGTGCACCTTGAGTGTCTTCCCCAACTAAATGCCAGTCCAATCTGAAACTGCATGATTGTGATTGTGCATGACTCCCCTGTCTGGGGAAGAGAGTGCAGAAAAATGCAGCAGCTACAATTGTTCTTGGCTCCTGTATCTGGGCAAGGTTTGTCTGTCTGTCAGTTCCCCTCTCCCAAAATGTTAAGAGCACCTGCAATAGAGCTGATTCTCATTTTTTCCAGAAATAGAGATCTGCAGGATGTGTGACCATGTGTGCCAGGGAGCTCTACAGGGATTCTCTGGTACCTCCTTAAGGGTGTCCTTGTTACTTGCACGGTGACACCTTTTAGCTTTACCTCCGGCTTGTGGGCTTGGAGGGAATATTCTGGTCCACTTTTATTTCCAGATTCCCATCTCCCTTGTTCACCTGAGTTCATTTCAGCATTTCTATCAAATTGACTCTCACCAGCATTCCTGACAGGAGAGCAAGGACTGCGGAGCAAACAGGCACTCGTTACATAAACCACTTAAATGAGACATCAGCCAAATCTGGCTGGTGGAAGGAGGATGTCAGCTGAGGACAGGGTATTTAAACTCAGCAGGGGAGAAGCGACAGCTCAGGGTTTGTTAAGGATATTTACAGCCCTTTGTGAGAGGAAAGGCAGCTGTGTCCATCTCCTTCCCTGAGTCCCCTGAGGCGGGGCTGGACACCCTGTGCCGCTCTTCAGGGCAAGCAGGGCTGCTGGCCCTCAGCCACCGCCACACAGGGACACGCAGCCGCGCCTCCCATCCCTTTCAGCCGCCAGAGCCTGGCTGTGAAAGCGCTGGGACAAGCTCCCCGTCCCTTCAGGTGGTCCGAGGGAGCTGGAAGGGCACAGCTGGGGCTTGGCAAGGGAATGGTGCCCGGCTCCTGGGGAAGCGCTTCGCAGGCCTGCGGCGCCGGAGCCGCTGCTGAGGGCTGCGGCCGGGGTCGAGCCGCACACGAGGGCACTTTCCCCGGCCGAGGGGCTGTAGATAAGCGGCAGTGACAGGCTGCTGGAAGCCGCGGCCCGGCCGGGAGAGGCGCACACCGAGGCCGCCACGGGCGCTGTGTCCGCCACGGCGGCGGCCGCTCCGCCTCCGCAAACCGGGCAGCGCCCTGCGGCAGCCCCGCTGCCGGGAGGCAGCCGAGACACCCCTCGCCCTCTCCAGCACCGAGCCAGCCCTGCGTGCGGTGCCCGAACACAGCGGACCCCAATTCTTCACACGGGCACTGGCTCGGTGGAAGGACCCGTCCGTCCTGCACTGCACGGTACCGTACCGCCCGGCACGGCTCAGCACGGCACTGCGTTGTGCTGCGTTGCATTGCACTGCACTGCGTTGCGTTGCGTTGCGTTGCATTGCGCTGCCGAGCGGCGAGGCGCGGTGCCCCGGTGCGCCCGTCCCGGCGGGCGGCGAACGTTCCAGACCCCCCACGCTGCGGCAGCGGCGGCGGGACGGGGCTGGGCGGGGCGCGGCGGGACGGGGGCGCGGCCAAACGGAGCCGGCCCGCGCGGGGCCTGGAGGGAAGCGTAGTTCGCTGTCAGCAGCGAGAGCCCAGGTCTGAGAGTCCAGGTCTGAGAGGCGGACTACATCTCCCGTGGGGCACCAGGAAGGAGCGGCCGCCGCAGCGCCCGCCCGCAGGCGCAGTGGGGACGCCGGAACCGCTATAAGCGGCGTTGTTTGGGTTCGCGGCCGCGGAGCGGAGAAGCTGCGGCGGGGCCGTCGGCGGGCGGAGGTGAGTGCGGCTGGTACCGGGGATGGGCGAGCCTCGGTGTGGTGAGGAGGCGGCTTTGCTGTCCCTTCTCCTGTCGGGAGCCCGGCCGAGCAGCCCCCTCTCCTCGCCGCCGGGGAGGGGGCTGCGCGCTGCCCGCTCCCGCCGCGCTCTGTCCCGCCTCGGCTGCACCGGGAGCACCTGTCCCTGGGCGGGGCGGCTCCCGTGTGCGCGGCACTGCGGCGGGGAAGAGCCGCGGGGCTCCCCCGGGCTGCTGGGGGTGTGCGGCCGGGGGCTGTCCCGCATCCCCGCCCGGGAGCGGCGGAGCCGCGGCTGCGGCGCGCTCGGCCCGCGGCGCTCTCGGCGGCGATGCCGCAGCCCCGGCGGAGCCGCCGGTGCAGCCTGACCGGCGTAGCGCAACCAGGCGTCTCCCAGAGCCTCAGCTGCAGGCGGGGGGCGGCATGCGATAAAACTGAGTTATAAAACAGAGTCCTGCAGAGGGGAGTGATTTTTGTCTTCCAGGCTCTGGTTCTCCTGCTGACCTTTCAGTGCAGTTTGATAGACTGGGTGGAAACCTGCAGCACTGAAGGTGTGACTCATTCCTGTGCATGTCAGTACTCAATAATAGCTCAAGCCTATGGAGTAAGTGAGCAATGCTATAGAGAAGGGATGTAGTTTTCTCCAGAGTGTTTCTACTGATTCATTTTATCAACTGATCTCTCCAGAGAGATTGGTTTTGTAAAACTTTGTACCAATAACTTACTGGATATATGCAATTTCAAACTCTTTACAAAAGATTTTGGGGATTTGGTCTTCCCAGTAAAGTTTCTCAGGGTTTCAGCTAAATGCTGTTGCTGTAACTTTAATCTGTCAGATTGCATAATTGTATTTCTGAGATCTAAGGGAGGAACTATGACAGCACTCTAGTGCATTGAGGATCATTGTACTATTTGGTTACCTCAGGGTATGTTTAAACTAGTTCATGAGAAGTTAGTCTTGCGTGGACTTCGAAAGCCATGTTATTACAGCTCTGTTGTAATATAGCTCATTTACAATTGCTTATCAGTTTTGATTTTGAAAATTAACTCAAAAAATAGGTGACTAAAAGTAACTGGTATATTGGGCACAGCACATAATGAAGGGGGATTTAATTATTTTTCAGATACTTGAGGTGAAAATCCACGTGTAAACCCTGGCGTTTACAGAAGATGAAAGACATCGACATAGGAAAAGAGTACATTATACCCAGTCCTGGGTATAGGAGTGTGAGGGAGAGAGCTGACTCGGTGCATGAAGAGCAGGAAGAGTCTAATTTTCCGCATTCTAAACTTAAGGTCAGTTTCTTTTTCATTGTTTATTTTGCAGTCTTTATGCTTATTAAATTGCATGCAGCACCCTTTTTGCTGTGCCAGCTGTATATAGATTTGCTGCATTGAAGGTCAATAATGAGTATTGCCTATTGTGTGGAAGAGGTCATTCCAAGGGGTGCTGTAGCTATTTTGGTAACAGGTCTTAGCACCTATTAAGCATTTTTTACTTTTAGATGTGGCTTTTCAGTAACATTTGAACAAAACTCTTTTCTAGTATTCAGCTATTGATGTGAATCAAGGAAATTTTTTAAACCTTTGTGTTTTAGAGAATCATTGCAACCAAGCAAGAGCAGTGAAGCACTCGGCACAAATCACGCACCATTCAGTGTTGACAGCTGAAAAAACTCTTAATCATGCCATGGTTGTTTCAAGGATTAATTTTCTAAAACAGATGTCTAGCTTCCTCTAGTAACATGACTTTTTACTTTTCCTCTCAGATGAAAGTAATTATTATTGAACACTTTCTTGAACATCTGTGTATTTAACATGATGAGGTACCGTCATAATTCTAGTTTATTTTGAGAGCTGGGTCTTGAAATAACCACTGGCTTAGAGCTAGCCTGTCATTGTTCAGAGCTTCTAATTTTTAGAGCTTGTTTTCACTGGGAAGAGTGCATATATTACCAAGTGCTATAAGGAAAAAAGGCTCAGAGAAATGGAAACACCCATGCTGATGAAAGATATGGTCAGAAACTAATAACCTCTGCTAGCTGAAGAAGGTTAAAGATATTCCAGTGCTAGCATTCAGAGCAGCTAATATTTTCTTGCATATCCTGTTCTTGACCTTTTCTGAAATCCTCCAAGGACTGATATATATGTGTATACACACAGATACACACTGTGTATCTGAAGACAAGCAAATAAAGTTAATAGTGCTTCTGTCTGATTTTCACAATGATTAATTCCTTGCATAAGTGCTGCTGGTCATTCCATACAGATTGCCTGTGAGAGGCTTGGAAATAGGGCAACTTGCTGCATTTGTATGGAGGAATTGTGAAAGCCTCTGAAAAGGCTTAATCTCTGCTATGTTGTAGTAGATGCTGAGATACTCTGTATTTCCTCTTCCCTGGTTTCAGTGGGTTTGAGGGTTTCCCAGTGCTGCACTGCTGCGTTTGGGACTGGAGAGCTCAGCTCTGCAGCAGCTGCGTGCGGGCTGCTGGCAGGCCCTGCAGCTCGGCTGTCCCCACAGGCTCTATGACTCAGCACAGCGCTGCTGACGGTGTTCAGCAAGGTGGTGTCTGATTGCATTGGAGTGTTCAGCAAGGTGGTGTCTGATTGCATTGGAGTGTTCAGCAAGGTGGTGTCTGATTGCATTGGAGTGTTCAGCAAGGTGGTGTCTGATTGCACTGGAGCAGGCACCGGTGCAGAGCCGCCAGTGCTCCGGAGTCGCGGTGCCGATTTTTTAGCGGCTTTTACTATGTTGATGTCACGGGCTTGCCACCGACCCTGCCCTGTCCAGTAGCAAATCTGCTCTATCAAATCGTGGTGACAACAGTGATGCCATTGGTGGGCAGCTCTGTTTCCTGACCACTGGCAGTGGAGTTCAGCAGTAATTGTTGCATGTTATCTTTTGCTCTGCATCACCTAATCAGGATTTAACTCTTGAAGGAAACAATCCTTATCTTACCTGTAAATTTTTAATTAAGTGAAATCATGAAACCAGCATATTTGTGGGTACTTGAAATTTTTTTATTCCTTTTTTTTTTTCTTTTGTGGAGACTGAAAGTAAGTCAAATCCTGCATGTCTGTACAGCCTGGCATGAAAATCTCTAACTGTGAGGCAGCTTCAGGTCAGCTTAGCTCTGTTGCTGGTCTTTTTTACCCTTCTACCCATACCATTTGATGTGCTGCCTATGACTACTGGGTAGTACACACAGATAATTGATTGCAAAAGATGGGTTCTGTAAACTTGTGATTACTGATGTAAGAGAAGGGCTTACTTACCCAAGCCCTAACTTACCCAAGTTCATGTGTTGAACTTTTATCTTGTTTGTCCTCTTTGAGTAGAAGGAGGAACTTAACTTGTTTTGCTAATGGAATCTTCTGGTTCTGATAGGATGCCCACTTTACTTGGTAGTTATCTTGTTCAGTGTGCCAAAGCTGTGTTAATTTCTAGCTCAGACATTGGTACCATGTTTGTTTTGCCAGCCTTGCAGCTCGGGTGTATATAGTCCACAGACACAAACAGCTCTGAATTTGTTGCTACATGTCAGTGAGATTAAATCCTGCTTGCTTGCAGAATACTAAGGTTAAGTAAAAGGAGCAGTATTCGTAACACCTTATCTAAGTTAGACATTCATGTTTGTGTACCAAGTTTTTCCCTTTCTAGTTGAAACAAGCTCTGCTTTCAGCAGCATGCTTGGCTTAGGGAAGAGCAAAGACTTCCCTTTCATAAGGCTGAGCTTTGTCTGTTTGGTTAAGCACTTTCCCTCTGCCTGTAAGAAAATGGTAGAAGCTGTGAAGAAGATGGTGTTTCAAGGGAAGAGGAGGAATTCTGTCCTTTGCTACTGTATCTTTTATGGAACCTGGATTGGGTGAGATGGCTAAATAGACTTGGCACAGCTGGTTACAGAACACAAAGGAGGGCTGATGTGATGAGGAAGGGTAGGACCACAGCAGTTCAGATAGAGGGATAAGCTGTAGTGGAGCTCTGTCACTTGGACAACAGAGTCCAGTGTACCATCAGCAGAGATGCTGTGACTCTCAAATTTCTTGTAATAAATCTGGCTCAGGATTTGAATTAGGCTGACCATAAAATGACTAAGCTGTAAGCATGATGTGTATTGCCAGGAACAAGCTGCAAGCAGATGTGGGCTGTTATTTCACCACTAACTTCACATCTTTGTGGAATGGAAGTTTAAGGCTGTTTTGCAGCAGAATTTCACTGCATGAGGTAGCCTTCTTGCTCACATGGTGCACCCTCACAGGGTGAGGTAGAATGCTCTGTGCTCTGGGGACAGTAGTCAAGGGCCACTGGTTCATGGCCAGTGTGAGTGCTTCTGGCAGGGCTATGAGTACATTTGGCTGATCAATAATATGACTAATTGGGGTTTTTTGTTGCCTATATTGCTGCATTTTCTGCATCCTACATAACTTGAAGCAGACAAGCCTAGTTGGTTTTCTGATCATGATCTTTATAGGTGAAAGACCTGTTTTGCTATTGAGCCAAGGTCCCAGAGCTTTTTTGTATCTCTTCTTTGCATTGCATAAAGGTTATATTCAGCTTTCCATTTTCTGTCCTGAAACCTCCATTCTTGTGTTTATTTCCTGCTGAAAGGATGCTGTTTCAAACTACCACAAGTGTGTTCATAACAATAGTGAAAAAGAACTTGCAATTCTTTCCTTGGAAGCTTAAATGCTGCTTGGTCACAGCTTGAGAGATCACATCTCTGAAAGACAGGAGCTTTTCAAATAGGCTTCCTGGAATCATAATTGAAATAATTCTGCAATATAAGTAGGTCTAATCCAACATTTCCTGGTACTTAATGGGAATGTTGCTATAGAAATATGGACCTTTGAAATAGGCACTTTAGGACTGAAATTCAAGAAAAAAATTATTCAGCTTGTGAATACATGTATTCACCTCATGAATAAGTGTCTGCAGTGTGTTCTGATAACAATTGATTTTTAAGTCTTTGGAGACCTTAATGTAGCTTACAAAGCAGTCTTAACTACATGTTCCCCTTGCATAGTGCCATACTAATTGGGCTTATTGTATGTGGGGACATGCCTCTGCTGGAGAACTTGTAGGTGCACTTGCTGCCCGGCACTACAGTGAGTGGTCTTCATCTCTAAAAGCTGTTACATGACCAGTGAGTAATAATTAAGGGATGTTTTGAAATGTTGATTTGTACTTACACCTTTAGGACTTTGTGTTCTCAGAATGTGCCTGTGCCCTTCAACTTGCAGCTGAGATAATTGTATGTAGTTTTATTCATGGAAGCAGTGTATCCTGGGGAGGGCAGACCCCACTGTCCATGAAATATGCTATGAAATGACAGCTGAGGAAGAGAAATAATTTATTTTTTTTTAATTTTTAAATGCTTTTAGAATAGGCTTGTCTCAAATGTAGATTTTGTGTTTATTTGATAGAACAACAGGCAATTAATTTAACTTTCCTACCCCATTAGAGTTACAATAGAGGAGGATATGAGAACAAGCTGCTTCTACAATGTACAGAGCTTATGAGAACTCAATTCTTGGAATTTGACTTCCCAAGTTAATGATGCTACAGCACTTATTTACAAACTGTACTCCAAGCTGTAGCTGGTTCTGGCTGGAATGTACTGTTCAGGATTAAGTTCTTGCTGCTGAAGGATAATGACTGCGTCTGTGATGAATCTCAAGTGAAAATTGCTGCATTTCAAGGCACCAGCCAGGGGAACTGTAGAGATCACTTCAAACATGCAGAAAATGTGTTGCTAACTTTAGCTATCAGAAGCCCTACTAACATTCCTGTCCTTACCTTGATCTCTTGTTTTTCAGGTTTGTTTCTGACATCTTTTGCCCAAGACAGCAGGGAATGTGATCAGAACTTGCTGGAATTGATGTAAATCCTTCAAGCACTGATAGCTTTGAAGTGATTTATCACTGAGTATTTAAATAGATCAATTCTGCCTCAACCTCTCTGAAGCATCTGAGTGTCTGAGTCAACTGAACAACAGGTTAAAAATAGGGGTGTGAGTGTAGCCTGGGTACTTCTGCCTGTGCACTCCATGCTTAGAGCAGTCCTAGAGAGCTTAGCTATAAACTGTTATTTGTAGCTGAAGCTGCTGGATGTGTCCGTGTTTTTCCAGATTGCATATTTTCATAACCAAGTAAACACTTTTTTACTTTTTCAAGTCAAATAAAAGCAAAATTTTAAAATCTTTTTTTTTTGCAGTAGCAGCAGTTCTATTATCTTTGAGAACTCTGAACACAGACTAAGTGCAGAAGCAAACATTGTGGTGCTTTCTAAAGATGCA